TTCATTGTATTGTATTGTATTGTATACAGTCACAGAAAGAGGAAGCATTTAGTAAATGAAAGGGAAAATGAATAGTTGAAATGTCATGAATGTACACCAATATGAATTTCAGAAAAAAATCTGGTATAACACTGACATATTTAATGCTTATAATTATTTAACCTCTTTTCCATGGAAGGCAAAATTGAAGGTATTGAAAAGGCATAGACGAAAGGGGATGACCTGTTCTTCTATACCTAGTGCCAGGCCGTTTTACCTCGGGCTAGATTCAAAATGTCATCGATAGCGTTTGACATTCTACCGTTAAATGGATGTTTGTTTTTCAGTGTGATGATCTTTGTTTTCTGCGCATTATGGTCCATCAAGTAGGGATTCTTTGAATGGGAGGATCAAAAGTTAAATGTACGTTGAAAGGTTATTTGGTGACTTTTTCATCGTCATCGTTGAAATGTCCTATAAAATAGACGGTTCAAAAGAAAAGGAGAAATAGAGCTATACTAATGACTGTTTAGATCGACACCTATAGATGGATGACGATATGAACTAGACATACATGTCTTTCCAAGTATTGAAGAAAAAAGGGGGAACATTAATTAATAATAATGATTTGTCACAACTTTGTTCAAATAACTAGTTTTTATAATTATCATTGGGAAAATAAATAATGTTAAACCATTTAGGGAGAGTAAGAATATATATATATATATATATATATATATATATATATATATACACGCCCGTTTTTTTTTTTTTTTTTTTGCATTTTCGACTTGTGATTATATCTTCATAGCCCCCCTCTCCCTCCATCTCTCTCTCTCTCTCTTGTTATGTGTGATTCGTCACTTGAAAATCAGATACCATTTAATGACACCCAATCTGTCTCCATTCGTGAACGCCAAGTGTCGTTATTTGCTTATTCGCATAACTCTACAGATATGTTTGTAAAGTATACAATAATGATGATTGATAATTCATCTTAACTTATTTATTAAAGGTAAAGACCAGTATTGGCAACGCCCCAATTTCAAAAAATGAAATGGAAGCTCTCATTACCAATCATGTGAAAGAATATGTTTTGACTAATACATGATGATAAAAAATTTGCCGGGAAACCGCCTACTAATTCATATATTTGGTAAATTTATTTCTCTCATGGTCTGGTGAGAGAGATAGGGTAGTCCCATATACATCTTTCTGTGTATAGTGCTTGTAACTTTACGAAGAATGAGCCAAATTTCTTATCATTTTGATGATTCCAGAACCTTGCAGATGCTAGATGCTAGATGATCGACCTTTTCTGATCGATTCCACAACGTTTCTTTCACAATGCAATCGCATGACCATTACTGGTCTTTACCTTTAATGCTAATAAAAAATGCAAGCATCAAACTCGTGTTCTCAGTAAAAAAAAATCATGAGATCTACGGCGTCAAAACATATCGAAAGTACTTAACTGGGAATCATATTTTACACGGCATCACTGGTTAATTGGTAAAATTGCTAACACCCCCGACAGGCCTCGTTAAACAGTTAAAGATAAGATTCGTGATATTTATTACTGTTGGGTTACCATACAAGTTTAAATTCTAATATTTATCCCAGTCTCCTTAAACGTTCTTCCCCCTGTTAAGTAGTGAATAGAGGGCATTTTCTAATAATTCTCGTATCGTATTTCGCAGACCACATTATTATTATTAGTATGGTCCGCTACTGAAGCATGACAGATTCGTGGTCATAAATTACGGCGCATGGGGGCGCTGCTCAGACACCGCGGACCAAAATAAACACATTTTTCGTGGCAAGGAAAACCGGCTGTAATGCTATGGTCACATTACCCAAACGTAGCCTGCTCGGCGACCGAGCGGCGGCCGCCCAGGCACCGCTCGTTTTTAAGGCATCGATCGGTCGCTGCTAAAGTTTTAGCGCGGAGTTAAAATTCGGGCTGCGCCTGCTCACTTTCACTCGCCCTTTCACTCGCCGCCCGGGCGCCGACCTAATTTAGCGTTCACCACGTCGAGCGATTTAGGTCAAAAATCGAAGCCGCCAGGTCAAAGGCTGTCGAGCAGTCGCCGCCCGGTCGCCGCTCGGAGATCAGTCGGTCACTGGCGAGTCCAAAGCGGCTTCGATTTTTTACCTAAATCGCTCGGTGGCGAACGCTCGATTAGTTCGGTGCCCGGGCGGCGACCGGCCGGGCACCGAGCGTATTTTGGAGCCCCGCCGATCACTGGCCGGCCACTGTGCAATATCTTTAAAACCAGCCGGCGGCCGGTGGGAGACTGCTTGGGAATCGGTGGGTCACCGGTCGTTCATTGCCGGGACACCGCGCGAAAAAGCTCCGCGATTTTGCCCGATTTTGGCCTAAAATCGACCGGCGACCGACGGGAAATCGACAGGGCACCGCCCAGGCACCGATGGGGCTCTACAGCCTGCTCGACTTCTCCAAAAATCGCTGGGCGATGCCTAAATTCCAGCAGCGACCGAGCAGGCTACTAATCGGTCGGCCGCCGCTCTGATTTGTGACCATAGCTTAACATAAAAAACAGGCCGAAGATGGCAGCCATATCTGGTATCAACCTAAAGCTTAGACATCAGAAAAATTGACGGTAATAAAATCAAAGTGGAATTCTCTGGAAATCTAAACATTTCCTCTGGATTTATAAAAATTGTGTTTATATCCATTATTAGCCAATTCATGCAGTGAAATGAACTATCAGGAATATGTGAGAGCAGTTTCATATCAATAGCTTAAAAACTCCATGTTAAATTGAAAGATCTATAAAATAAGTCACTTTTGCACTAAAACTATGAATATGTAAGATTTTGCTGTTTTAAGGAGTAAATTTATACCCTGATGGTGCATACCGAAATTAAATATTTTACTGAGGTATTATTCAATGTATTATCTTTCCACTGGGCAAGAAAAGGAAAAGAAAAAAAGGAAATCACGAAAAATGGCTTTTAGCGCACTTTGGTTCATTCCTGGCCCACTGTGCGCCTGTTGAAAAATGCTGCTGAACGATGTTTATATGGCCTGACCCATATTCGGTGCATCAGCCCAAACTTAGTACAAGGAGATGTTGACGTAACTTTTTAAAAACCATGATGCTCAGTCATCCGTGGCAGAAAAATATAAATTGGGTATCATTAGACAAGAAAACAAGTTACTCTTTACCTTGCAATAGTGTGACGGGATATTCCACATCAAAGGCATCGTTTAACAATTAATTATCTGAGATGCATGGCCCTACGTGTTATCAGTGTCTGTGATAGTAAAATTGAAGCCATAAAGAATTGGGCTTCAAAATGATCATGAAATGCCTCAAAAAAGTTTTAAAAAATGAGTGACCGGTTTTACCATACTCATTTTGCCCAAATAGACTCAGTTTTATAAAAACCGTTAGGAAAAAGCAAAATTTAATTTCGATTTTTAATCATAAATATCTTCATAATCAGACAAGCGAACGGCTTGTAAAAGTCATGGGATTGCAGAATGACCGAAAGGTTTATAATTATAATTGCAGCATGAGCTTAATCCAGTATTTTGTTTTAGAATCTGATGCAATGTTACCGAGTCACTTCAAGCAGGAAGTCTTCTTTCGAGAGTGGAGCTAGGACATTTATAATTCTCTTTGGTTTCAGCCCTTTACTTTCAGACCTCCTCTCTGACATGTCCCAAGTTGACATGAGCCCAAGAGCAAAATAGACGTAAACATTTTTTGATTACCAAATCTTAGATAACGAAAGATTGTACTATGTTGTCATTAAACCCTTCCATAGCACACAGCCCTGCTCCCAGCACAAATACATTGAATAAGCGAGGGACTGGTTAAAGAGAAAATTATACTTAAGGGAACTGAAAGACAAAGTATAGGTTCATGTTTCATTTCATAATTTTGAACTTACTTTGTCAACTATGTTCTTTATTATGCAAATAATTGATATGAAATGGAATAAATTCGATTCAATAATTCAATCAATAAATGTAGCGCCCCTTTTCTCACCTTCTCCTTTTCTTTCTTACATACCGAATATGTTTTTCTCTCTTTTTTCCTTTCCAGACTATAGTCTAAAATAAATAATTATACTTTTAATTGCAAAATACACCCATGCAATACACTGTTATTATTTTAAAACAATTATTGTTTGCATATTTTGTCAGTTTTAAGTGTTTAAATAAGTGTTTGTACTAGTAATATATTTTTCTTTACATAGTACTCTTATTTCCTTGAATCTGATGTTTTCAATCTTTTCGTTTGTAATAAATCCCGCGATTCGGCTGTTAGCGGCGACGGATATAACTATATTCCGATATTTACGTATAATTTTATTTGTATGTGCACGTTTACATAATAACCCTTCTTTAAATTGAAAAAAAGAGTGAATTGAATAATATGGAGAGAAATTAAATTGTCTGATTAACTTGGATAAACATAGAACCGCGTATGCAATATTGCAACAGATAATGTCTAAGGGGGAAGCTTCAAGTAATCGAAAACGAAAGCACCACAAGTAGATAACACTCATTAATGGTAATAATTAGTAGACAGTGTTGTGTGTCAGTGGGCTCCGGTAACCAAGATAAAATTAATAAACAAGTTGAAAAAGTGTTTACGTATTTCGACAGGAAGGCAAGTTTCACTACGTAAGGCTAGATTTTGTTTTGTTTTTGTTTTATTTTGCTCTCGAAGATACAAGCTAATTATCAGTTCTTTTCGTATCCAAAGTTTTTTTTTTTTAAAGGTAGATCTATAAATACATAAATATACAACTACAATAAGTGATTGGATACGTAAGATAGTACTTTTGAAAAAGGAAATATTAGAGGAAATATGTACAAAAATTGGAAATTGCAACGATGATAAACCGTTTAATGTCAATCAAATGAGTATTTACTTAAGTTCAAAAGATACCATATGAAAAACTTCAATTTCCAACAAGTATATATTATATTTTTACAATGAAAAAGCATCACACATTTTTTTGTTTTTAATCACTTGAGCTTTATATACATTACACAAATAAATAATAGTAAGACAATATGATTGAAATTTGGTAGGGCGATGACGAAAGTAGTTTAAGCACACAATATAAAACAAGTGGTAACATTTAATTTTTAGAAAGATGCTTCATTTCTTGAAAAACATTATAATGAAGCATTGAACTAGACTCTAGCTTGAACCAAAAAACCATGACAATAGGATCCCACATATTTAAATTTACAATACCAATCTTTTTTTTCTCCAAAACATGTCTTTCTTATAACCATCTTGTTAAAATTTGAAAGAAGGTTCATAAAAGTTCTTGGATGCGCATAATTAAAGCAACGAGGATATTTTTTTTCTTGTGCTGTCTCGATATATTTAAGTGTGTTTGATTTATTTGTTCTGTCTTTGTTTATGCCTTTTTTGCTAGAAAATCGACACTATATTGTCATTAATCTGAAATCCCGTAATTTTTATTTCAAATAATTAAACATCATATAACGTAGTTCAGCCTTAATGAATCTAATACACCTAGCTTATTTGGTTTGCATTATATCGCTTCAAAATTTAAAATGATTATTTACATGTGTGAGTAATAATCGACAACCATCGAAATATTAAATCAGTGCAAAATGTATATAGAAGATATTGCAGTTCATAACATTCCAAGAGAAAACTCTTTCAAATACTTTTAACCAGTGCTTCCGAATATATATCAGTATATTTCGTGCGCTATTTATAAGTTGATGTACCAGCATACAAAAAAGAAAAAGAATTATGAGATTGCTTAAATTTGAACACCACTCCCAAAGACTATACAGTACTGTAATACTAACAAAGAAACATTTTTCCTAATTTGTACAGCCCTAGGCTGCATTTCATCTTTCGTCAGTATTTCGATTAAGTATTCAAAACGTTTTTGCATTTTTCTTGAACAGCTTGGTGTCAAGCCATTTCCCTAAATTGTATTCATGTACCCATAGATGTTTCATACCATGTAGACACGTTGGAGGACCCTTATTTATGACACATGTTGTTGTTTGATTAACTTACACTAAATGAATTACGCGAAGATTAATTTTTATACAAGAAACACTTAGCGGTCGTTAATTTTTAGACCACTTTTGACTTTTTGGGTACCAAACAATTTAAAGGGCACATTCAATATGTGTGTTCATTCCACTTGTTCATCAACCAGATATTGAAATATATGGTATATACAAATTAATAATGTTTTAAACTGAATTTATCAAACTAATTGACACAGAAACCATGTAATGATGTTTTCATACATATGTATTTCTTAATATATTTTTTATGTTGTGCAGGACCCCCAAGTATAACAGTATTTTAACTACTGATTGGGCTACTCTGTTGAAATAAAACGAAATAAATGAATTAAATAAGATACCGCAAAGCTATGGAATGTGTCCTAGAATATAATTATGAGTGAAGATGACCGACTCGCCCTGGCCTTTCACAACACCGGTGACTTTTTATCTCACAAAATGAAAGTGTGTTGTCTAATATTTTTGTACAAAGCTGGTAGAGGTGCTCATATAAATCGCGTTAACTGTCTTTTAAACCTTACGGAATATGGAAGCGTCCGGTGTGGATGAGAAGCAGTTGACTTGGAAGGGGTTTTTAACAATATCACATTGCAGTGTCTTGAACATCACACCCTGGACTGGTCGGTACCATGTAGTCAGAAACCGTTTCCTTGTTGCGTTCGGCGACAGCGTAGGTATCATTGTTGACCTCGATGCGAGGCAGGTCAACATCCTTGAAAATCATGCTCGTCACGGAACTCTGGTCGATTTTGTATCCGTAGGGAAATGCCTCTGGTTCCTTTCCTGCGTTAAGTCCAGAATGCAATTGAGTGGTGTATGTGCCTTGGTCTTGAGGAATGGTAGTCTTGCCTGCATCCATCTTCATGTAGCCGTCTAGTGTACGAGGAAACACATCGTCTTGAGGGGACTTCGTTGTTGATTGAGTGGTGGTGTTCTTCGAGGCATTTATGCTTGCGTTACGCTGGTTATCACTTATCTCCTTACCCTTGATGTTCTCTATCGCATCATAGTTCTGATTGAAAACATGAAGATAACGGCCAATCAGAATTATGATTTGTAACGTTCTTTTCTAATAATTTAGTTAAAACACAGATTACATTAACAATCATTACATATTTTTAAACGATATTGTTCCGACCATGATTGCAGTATAGATGGCTTGTTACATTCGTTTAGTTTTGTTGTCTTCCTTTTATTCTTGTTTTGTTCGGTGCATCCAATAAAACTCATTTCAAATTAAAATAACTTAGCTAGAACCAAGGAAAGTACATTATCATACATGTGTATATTTTGCAGAAAAGTTGAAAGAGAAATGTAGAATCTATCAAAATTATAACTTCTCTTGCCAAAGAATTACTTACAATTTCCGTGTCATCATCCTTTCTGAGAGACGAGGACCCAATTCCTATCGCAAGGGCGCATGCTGGGGGAATGGGAAGAGCACGTTGAATAGTCGACATGCCGTCTGAGTCCAAAGAATTCCATGCTTGAAATTAAAAGAAAGTAAAAATATATCATTATTTGTTCTATATCAATTTGAAATTAGAAAATTGGGCCACCGAGCTGTCCTCTAAAATGTTACTGGAAATCTTTGAACAAAATTTAGAGAAGCATTTTGTTATTATTTGTATTAGTTATCCTCATATAGAACCTAAATCAATTTTGTTTTTAAAACAGCTGGTCTTTATTAGAAAGAAGCGCTTACAGATTTAAGGCAATTTATGTTTGATTATAAACAGTGAAATTCGTTCTTACATCGTCTTTCTTGGGATATTAAGCGATACGAGCCGAAGAAGAGAAGGACTAACACAGTGACTCCCAGACATCCGCCCAGTGTAATAACCAAGATGAAAAGCAGACCTAGAACAAATAATATAGAAAATAAATCATTTCAAAAATAATGAAGAAAAGTAATTCTTGTAAAGTGATTACGAGATAAGTATGTTCCAGCTATCTTAATGGCTATAGTATGAAATGAATGTAAAAATTAATTAATTCTAGTTCGAAATAGTCTCATATTCTCTCGTACAAATTACGGCCTACCATCACTACATCTCACGTTATATTAGACACATATATTATTGTGTGTATGTCTATGTGGGTGTGTGGGTATGGGTTGGTTTTCGCGTGTGTTTAATGGCGTGTCTAGCTAGGTTTGTCTCAAAGGGTTGTCAACATTTCAACAAATCTTATTTTTGATTGATTGTCTGACAGGTTATATACATACTCCATCTTTCATCGCTGTTCTCCAGGTACTTCACACGAGATGAAGCGCTGCACACGCCACGCCCACATACAACCAGCCAAAGCTGATGCTCTCTGGCGCCATTCCGGATGTACACCGTCTGACCCGGAAGTAAACACGTCTCATTCCTATTACGCAACCCTCCAACATGATACTCAGCATGGATGCAAAGGTCGCTTGTATCACTGTCAGTCGAAGAAATGTCGAGTCTTCCCGATTTCATCTCATATGTTGCACTTATACCTGATAAAGAAAGGGAATATGTAAATAGATACAATGCAAGATTTACCATATTTCAAGCAAGATTAACTCAGTATTTACAATCTTCCACTCGAGGAAATTCTTGTAATAATTGATCGCAATACTGTCATTGGCATTTTATTCTACACTTCGATTGAAACAGGAAGGATATCTAGGTTTCTATTTACATTACAATTCTCACTTTGGCATCATAACAGCAATGCCATATAAGGAAAATGCTTTGTGCTTCCCCCTAACGCGGCATTAGGAAATGACGCCTGGCACTTAGTATAATTTGAAAACTGGTTTTATTAAAAATAAATAAGATCACAGACTTACCAATATCATCCACAGTCCCCGCTGCAAGAAAAATAAAAACAGAACGAAACCTCCATAAATGCCTTTGTTTTACCAAAGTCTATACGCTTACACGACTGTTTTACTTATACTAGCCACAATTTAGTGGTGCCCTGATCTTTCAAACGGTTTTTTAGCAATCACATGTTGGTACTAATGTCTCAGCAATCATTTCTGACAAGTACGTAGGTGATTTATTCAATGGAAAGCGACGTTGGCTGACTGGGGCTAACATGACAAAACTTCTTGAATTACCGGATTTTAGAGTAACAACTAATTACGGGGTCAATGCTCGAGTATGTTTTACATAAATCATTGAAGTATTTACTTGCAGTTTTATATCTTGACCAATTTCTCGTCGTCCAACATTTCAGGGCCTGACAATATTATATTCTCTGTCTCCAATTGTGTTTCAGGCACTGTTTGGTATATCGTCATATTGCTTATGGCTGAAATCACAATTTAGTTAATAATGTAACAGGTCCACCCTTTGGCGACTTACGAGCAGTAGATGCAAAGATGTCAACATTTCCACTGCTCCCGATGTCATTTTCTGCGAGGACGGTAATTCTGTAAATAGTATAGTTGTTAAGGCCATCGAGTGTGAACTGCTGATCCGTTACACCCTGCTCTTTGCGACACCTTTCCGTCTGGGTGACGTTGACACAATAAGAAAAGACGAACGTCACCGGCAAGCCGCCATCTTGGCCCGGACTCCAGGAGAGAGTGAGAGACGTATCCGAGAAGCTGACAACTCGCAAGTTGTACGGAGGATCAGGATAACCTTTTGTGATAGAATTTGAACGAAATTTTGTTATCATGTAGCTTCTGAAATATATTCCACACTTCATTCTCTTGTAAAGAACGGTGGTTTGTCTAAGTCAATATTGTTGTAAATTTGCCAATGACAATGGTCTCTTCTTCGTGGAATGATCATTGATAAGAAATGCCAAAGTGCACTAAATCATTCAAATTGTTGCTTCTTAGATTGAGCAAGTGGCCTATCATTAACATACAGTAATAGGGTTTGGGACAAATTTAGTAAATAAACTGAAGGACAATCCTTGAAGTTTTTTGAAAAATGTCATGGCATTACAATTAGAATTCCATTCTTAAGAAGATCCAAAATCATAGATGTGCAATATCTTACAGTATCCAGTCAGCTGAATTACAAACGAATCTCTCCCTAGTGCATTGATGGCGGTACAAGTATAGTTTCCATAGACACCCCTGTGGACCTTCTCTGTAAACACCAATCTGCTTTCCAGTTCTGTCTCAGAGTGTCGTGTCACATTGGTAGCGATCGGTGATTGGTTAGGAGTGGACCACGTGATCATTGATGTCGTTGAAGGATTGGAGTCGACGATACACGATAGGACGGCTACGGTCCCTTCATCGGAATGAACGACGGACACCCGGCGATCAATGTGTGGGGGATCTGCATTTTTTAATTAAAAAGTATTCCAGTACTCCAAATGATTAATATCTACCTCTTGAATGTTTTTTCAAACAGATATATGGCGCAATACAAATGCTGTTGAGTCATCAAAATCATCATCATCAAATAAAAGGTTATGTCCCATGTAAAACATTATCAATTATTAATTTCGGAGGTTCTTAGAAGGTTATAGATTGTAAATTAGGTCCAAGGTTACTGTAACTTGTGAATATGTCATATTATGATTACTGATTACATCATTCCTACAAGAACTACACACGGACGTAGAAAAGGAGCTCACATTGTACCGAGATGTTTTTCGTTTTTATCTCTTTCGACTCCATGTGATTATCGGCTTCACATCGGTACACTCCAGCAAGATGACGCTGAATCTCCGGGAAGGACAATCTGGACATCCCTGTACCGTTCGCCAGGACTTCTCCAGGTAAGCCGCCCGAGAGAACTCTCCGCCAGGCGACGGTTGGTGATGGAAAACCATTCGACTGGCAGAGGATGGAGGCATCCTGCGAGCCTTCCTGCCAAGGTTCCGGTGGGGATTGTGTCAAGACGATGTCAGAAGGTGGATCTGCAGATTTGATGTTAAAGGGATGTTTGAAAAGGCTGAAATGTTGGTGGAAATGTTGATTTACAAGATATTCATTGCTTCATCATGTTCAGTCTACCCCACTACCACGTTCTGTTTTGAAATTGAATCGAATAGTCTCTTCAATAATTACACTTACATGCTACATCCAACGTTGTTCCCCCTTGGAGTCGAGGCTATCTAGAATAAGCTTGATATTTTCACAATGAGATAAAGTCACAGAGACAGTGTCAAACTGTTTGACGTTGGAATAGTCGATAAACCTACCTACATTCAAGCCTCATCTCATTTAGCCTACGTATGGACAAACCAAGCATGGTTACGGTTCACTTAGAACAAGACTGTGCACTAGTCTTTAATGTACCATTATGATATACGGCATTGGAAGGCAAACATGTTTTCTCTGCTAAACTTACACAGCACATTGGTAATGCAGACGTCAGAACATAAGTTTTGTCCATCAGGTGCCCTGCATGTCAGAGAGGACTCACTCCTACAGCAAATCGACGTCAGTCGCAGTCCGGTTGCTACCTCGGTGACATTTGGAATACTCTGCCTGCTGACGTTCACATAAATGTCAAAGTTCGGCACGCTTGCAAAGGGAGTTTCCAAAGAGTCTGTAAGATATATATTGGCGATCCGTGTGAGCTTACTAGGAGACTGGTCAGGTGTGAGGTACGAACATGAGAGATCCATGAAAGAACTGATACTTACTTCGCCGGGGCAATCTATGGTAGGGTGGTGGACAGAACATTCTGCAACAAGAGGAAAATGACAAGAGGTCTAAAAAAGGAATAAGCTGAATTCTTAGCTAGCACAAACAAAATTTTAGTCATGTCGATGTTTTGTTCTATTAAATATCATAATTTTATGAGGTAGAATCGGTTTTCATATTAGAAACATGCATGTTAAGAAACTAGCTGACATCATCCATGTTTCTTTTCTTTATTGTATTTTCGTGGTTGTTTGTATTGTACATGTATAATGATCTCACGCCTTCATTATTGCCAAAATTGGAAAGAAAAGAAAGACTCTTTGATCATTTTGGGAAACGCAAAGTTTTTATTCTATTTAACCCCCGCTCGCACACACACTCACAAAAAAAGAAAAATAGAAGGAGACAGGTTAGGGAAATATTTCATGATTTTCTTAACGGATGGGCGGGGGGGGGGGGGGGACATTTGTATTTCTTCAATGCAATGATTTCGGAAATATCACCTGTATCTCAAGCCCGGTATTAGTGCGAACAAATGCAGACAAGCGCTTTTTTCCTCTGGGGAAGAGAGGGGGAAGAACGGCTGTGCCTCCATAAGATTAAGCATATTAATCTCGATAGTTATTGACAATGCAATGAATTAACATTAACTCCAGTCTTTTTTTAAGATTTTGAAAAAGATTGTTTATAGAAGAATAGATGGTATTCAGAATATAAAAGTATTCTTCCAAGCATACAGTGTGAATTCAGAGGAGGAAGTAGCTCTACATATAATAATTGTTATAATACTTCAAAATAGTATTTAGCAAAGCTTAGGGAATCATGAACATACTCTAGTTTGTTTTTGTGATATAAATAAGGCATATGTTCGGTTGTGGTTTATCATATAAATTACACATACTAGTAAAAGGAAAGAGTAAAAGGAAATATGTTTACATTTATTAAGAGATTATTACAGAAAAGAACCTTCCAAGTGAGGAATAGGCAAACACTAACTTAAACATCCCTATTCAAGTGGATTACCACAAGGAAGTGCCCTCAGTCAAATTTTATTCAACATTATAATGCATGATATACCATTGGAAAAGGAAGTGAAAATAAAAATGGTATAATTACTGGGGAATTGCAATATCTCATGAAAAAGTAGTTTCAGTTCTGTTTACAAAAAATATTACAAACAAATGGAACTGAAACTTGAAAGAATACCCTTGCCTTCTGTCCAGAAGTACAAGTTCAGGATGTAGTTTTTTAAAAAAAGAAGAAAAAAAAGAAAGATGTAAAATGAAATTGAATGTTTTGTAGAAAATAACTGGAAACATGGGAAAATGACTTTTTAAACTATGGCTGCTAAAGATCTGATCCGGCTTCATACTTAGTGAAGAATACGTTTAACTCGGTACAACATCAAGCTTTAACAATAACTGGTGTCCCTATTGTAACTTCATAACAAACATTGCTTTAAAAAAAGGAGAAGAACCTCTAGCCATAAGGTGAACAATGTTGACGAATAAATACTATTTTTTGGTGAAATCAGCCCCCAGTACCCAGTCCAAAATATACAAACAACTGTTGAAATTATGAATATCTTTAAAAATGGAATGGAAATAAGCCCTTTGGTCTTAGAATATTACATGCGAAAATGGTCGAGCAATCGGATAAGGTTGACGAAAATAACAAAATACCATGCCCACCATGGCATTACATACCACCCACTTTATCAACTGTATTACATAATATATCAGCGCGAATGACAACCCACACTATCAAAAAAGCCTAATCTCGATATGTAATAAAGACTAGGTATAAAACACCATTAAATATATACACAGACGGATCTAAAGATCCCAAGCGACGTTCCATCGATGAAAATGCATGAACAGAAAAGATTACACAATGGCACATCGTCATACAGGGCACAGCAGGCGGCCATTATTATGGCCTTAGATTGGATTGAAAACTTGAATATTTATGTTGGTATTATTCTTCTTTCAGATTCTCCAAGTGCAATTGATTGCCATAGAGTCTCAGAAAAAAGAAAATGTTGTGGTAGAAATACTGATAAATATAACACATCTTCAATATAGAGATAATTTATGAACATAAATTTAGAATGGATCCCATCTCACTGTGGACTAGTACTAATGGGAAATGAAGTAGTAGATTGTGTTGCAAAGAGAGCATTAAAGAAAAAACATATAAGTTAACAATGATTGCGATGTGTAAGAACTGAAATCAAAACTGAGTAAAAAAAAAAGTACGTACAATTTGGGAAGAAAGATGGAATATCGAACAAGGTTAACAGATACAGTGAAGAAATATTACAAAGATTAAGAATGGGTGTTTTTTTTAACTGAACCAATAAAAGGCAAACGTAGGTTTCTGTGGAACAGAAAACTGTGATTATTATAACATCACTGAAACAGAAGAACATTTTATATTTCATTGTTGAAAGAGCAATTCTCTTCTCAGATTTAGACACAACCACAATGGAAGAATCGAAAAGAATACTTTTCAAGTTTTCACAGAAGGCTCAATATGCCATTTTACTAGGTAGCTTCAAATACAATTTTGAATAAGAGGCCAGCTGGTACGTATGCCTACAAGTAAAGAAAAAAGGCCTCAGGAATTTGTTTTCGCTTCTTTGACAAAAAAATGCAACCGGAATGGTCTAACCAGATTAAACGGGATAAAACAGAACTACGAATTTGTAAACCATCGAGAGACTTTTAATAAATTGCAGTACTGGTGAATAAAATTTGTTAGTTTCAGTTTTTTTCATTGATAACGGAATTATCTTATATAATTGAAGATAAATCGTATGTATTCAGTACTGAATGAACGCCATAAAAACAAAACAAAACAAAACAATAACAACCCCAATCGTACCAGAACCCGCTTAATATACTGTTAGATTTGCACGTCGACATAATGGACTGCTATGTGACGTCCTTTTAAGGCACTGGCAGTGCCTTATAAGGACGTCACAATGCCTTAAAAGGAGTTCACACGTAGCAGTCCACTATGTCTACGTGCAAATCTAAAAGCTTCTAATAGCGCAGATTCACACTACGTCACGACGACGCCTGCATAATGATTTTATCGGGCTCTTACCAGTAACGTTGAGTTTCACCAGGGCCGATTGAGCATCCTCACTGGTCGAGACCAAACAGGTGTAATTCCCAACATCCGATGAAACCGTATCAAACACGATGAGTTTCATCCTACCCATGTCATTATCAGCCGATTTGACCAATTGGTGCCGAGCTGGATTTGCCGGCGTACATTGTGTGATGTCACAGGTGCCGATCTGACTGCTGTGTCCATTTTGACCGTCAAAAGACCAAGCAAATGATGACCCTTGTGAGTTGGTAGGAGAGAAGGAGCATGTCATCTCGGATTGCCCGCCGACGAAGGTGGTAACAGGTCCTCCACTCGTCACAACCAAAGCAACAGATCCTGTAAAGATATTCAGAAAATATTTCAAGTGTCAGAATTGTCATTTATTAAAGGTACTATGTCCCTTTTGCAGCCAACCTCAAATGCTGTAGAAGTTTGCAGGAATTATGAATATGTCATGTATGTCCTATCTGTGAAATTTAAACGTTAGCAGTGTCCTCATATTCAAATTATGCAAGGAAACCTGTTTACTTGCTAGACTTCACTGTCAGACACTATTGAGTGACTGACTGACTTTTTTCTTCTTTGGTAATAACATACATGAAAAGAGTTGTAAAGGGTACATGAGCATTTGTCTACATCAATAACCCACTTCTTGTGATGGCCAAGATTAAACTGATTGAATCTTTGCGCAGCATAAAACATATGACCATTCGGTACAATTGTCTGAAAATCAAGACTATTACTTTTGGGCTCTATAGCCCTAAAGTCAATTTGACAACTAATAGTCATTATTTTCCCACTTGAAGACATTTTCAAGCCCCACCTTTTTTAGGGAAGTTCTAAATTAGTATTATCTTTCAAATGCAGTTGGAATTTAACTTTTTCATTTTTTTGGCCTGCAAATGGGACATAGTACCTTTAATGGATATTTTTCTTTTTCCGATTGAAATTCCAAGAAAACATAATATAAACATTTGTGAGGGTTCTTACAGCCCTTTAGCTGTCGACCATTTATATCGTATGTCACTGTATGTTTGGATATTGAAATAAATCTTGAATTAAATTGAATTGATTTAATAGGCCTACCGTAACATCGACCAACACAAGATAATTTCGTTGGTGGTATTGTCATGATTGCGCAGATGCAAACAATATCTCCTTCGATATCAACAGGAAGTTGTTTTTTAGAACTGATCACCAGTATGATCAAGTGATTCTGTAAGGAGAGTTCTGGGCCCTGTTTCATAAAACTTGATTTCAATAACAAGTTACAAGCTACTGTTACAAGCTACTGAAATCATGGCATCTAATTGGCTGAGAGCTAATTTGTCATTGAAATTTAGCTGTTGTTATAGAGAACAAGTTTTATGAAACGGGCAACAGGACAGGGCAGTCAATTGTGTACTGCTGAGGTGACATTGTGTGTGGATTGGGTCTTTACAGACGTGTATCAATCAGATATGATTATTTATTAACTTCCACTGTTAGCTGGAATACAGGCGCACGCCACACCGCCTAGCCAAACATTGAACATCTCTGTTCCATTTAAAATAAAATTAAAAAATAAATGAACAGTTATAGAATACAGTTTACCATTATTAACACTTTCACGGCACCGACTTTAAATTAAGACAATATAAACCAATTTTTCCGACGAACTAAACAGATTACATACGAGAGGTACGCACCTCAATGGCGCATTGTATGCTCATCATAAAGACCGAATGTTTCAGTTTTAACATGAACTTGCATGGACATCGTTGAAATAAAACAACAGTGCGTTTCTTTGTATTCATTACTTTGGCCCAATAGTTTCGTTAATTTCAAAACAATACAAAGATAAACAGATTAAATGTTGACACTGACCTGTTATTATTAATAAACACGTCACCACACCAAGTAGACAATCCATTGTCATGAACATCTTCCACCCTTTCGAGTGCATGATATGATGATATATCATAATTATGGATTGCGACTTCCTCATTTACAGTGCTGAACATAAGTACGACGAATTAGGTTGAGTGTATTCAAGTGTCAATCCTGCAATGATTGATTTCAGTATCGTAGACCCGTTCCGAGGAGTGTGAGTGTGTGTGTGTGTGTGATGGGTGGGTGGTTGGGGGAGGGGGGGGGGTGGTGATAGCAACCAAGCACCGGAATTTCTCGCGCAAACACACACACACATTGTGTGCGGGCAAGCACTGAATCCAATGACCGGGGTAATAGTATATTTGTAAAGCGCTTAGAGACATTTGTATTAAGCGCTATATACAAATTAAATATTATTATTATATTATTACATGTACGACTGGTTATGGATGTGAGATCTCGAGGAAAAAAAAATCGGACTCACTTTAGGACGTTCTATAACTATTTTTATTCTGTTACTGGCATTTAAAAAGAGAAGATTTCAATTTTAACATGACTGTTTCTATAAAAGGGTGTGTGTGTGTGTGTGGGGGGGGGTGGGGGGGGGGGGGTGGGGAAGGGGTTAGAACTGTTCAGACAACCTCCTCTTCCTGCCAGTGGGGAATACTTATACCCCTCGCACTCCCCATCTCATCCAGTGGCGTAATGAGCAAAAGCGGTTGATTTGTATTTATTATTGTTATTTTTTTTTGGGAGGGGGGGGGGGAGCGAAAAAAAAAAATCCGAATCAACACCGCTCTCAAATTTTAAGTGCGAGTGAAGTGTAAATTGGTGTGGGACCAGGGTGAAAGCCCCGGTTGTAGCTTAGCGGATTTGGGGCATTTAATTAGGGTCACATAAGTATCACCAAAGGCCCGTTCTCCTGGGGCCAGGTGGCAGAGCTAGAAGTTTTAAGCATTTAATTATGGTCAGATGAGCATATTTTGATACCTTATTTGTGAGACTGCCAGGTCACTAATTTGTGTGGGGTCCAGGGGCAGCGCTCCGAGTAGCTCACGGTTTTTAGGCATTAAATTACGGTCAGATAAGCATACAGGGGGCGGAGCCCCGCAAGCTCAGGGTGTTTAGGCATTTAAATAAGGTCAAATCACCATGTTTTGATACCTCATTTGTGACACTGACAGGTCACCATTCTTTCTATTTTTCTGTATTTCTATTTCTCTTTAACATAATTTTTCAAAAAGTGAGGGGCCGGGGGATCGAGCCCCCCCCTAGACCCTCCGTTCTGAGGGCCCTAACATGTAGGCTTCTAATAAGCATATCTTTTGCCTGACTTTACATTTTGGAGTTATTTTCCAACAAACGCATACAAAATTATATACCGAAAAATCATGTCATTTCAGCAACATTTATAGATCATTAGTATCAAATTAAAAATAAACATTTTTTTTTTTTTTTTTTTTTGTGAGGGGGGAGGGGGGCAACTCCCCTCAAGCCCCCCTCCCGTATCAGTACGCCCATCATCCCTTTTGAGATTTGCGCTAATACACACAGATGACATTTAGCTGTTAGTACAGTTCAGTGAATAGATGGTCTGGTTTCGATGGGGCTTTTCGAAAATCTGCTTTTGTTTCTTTGCTTTGCTTTCACTCGATAAACACAATGAATCTTGATAGCCAATTTCGTAAGTTATTTACAAGCAATAACAATTGAGTGAAACTTTCCTTTGGCTAATGCCGAGGTAACATGATAACAACAGCATATAATCATTATCATTGATACTATTACCATCATTACCATTATTATAATTATTATCAACATTGTCAGGGTTTCCTTTCGCATTGCATAGTCATTGTATGCTTACCAAATTATAGACAAGGTACTCTTCTACACTGTTTCATTAAATCATTATTATTATTCTCTACTATCATGATGATGTCGAGTTTTGCGCTTTGGGTTTATACATTTCTGGGTTGACAATCCCGTTGTAGGTTTCCATTTTCATACATTAACCTGATTAAATTCTTGTTATCATGCGAGGAGCAGATTGATGCAGAGAATATTTCTTTTCGGTTTGTGATACTGAAACTTGCATTCTAGAACACCCGATAACTATAAACTAAGATTTAACACTTTTATATTACTATATTTTTCAAAAAATAATATCCGGGGGGAATCCTAATTATCATTTTTCATGATTATAGTTTTCTTTCACTATAACAATTATGCATCATATTAGCAAACAATTTCGCCGTTAGAGAAGCGACCGCAATTATCCATATCGCTTTCGTGAGAAAAAAGAAACTAATTATGACTATTACAGTTTCCTGTTTTGAAAAATTTGTTGTTTTTATTTCCTGTAATAGAGGAAGAGGTAATACTTGACATTGACAATAGTTACATAGCCGAGAAGTAATGGTAGTTATGTCAAGCTTTTCTCAAGTTTTGAGGGACAGATTTGGGTATTTACAGAAGCCATGAAAAAAAGAAATTTGGAATTAATAGGATCTTTGTGGAAAAGTATTTCAAGATTGATGTCTGGCAAAACAGATTTTGTTTTCCTTCTTCGATTGTATAGCTTTCTTACCCTTCGTAAGTCAAAAAGTAAAAATGTCTCCTGAAAAGATTGCGCTTCAAATATCCCTATATTCGTTACACATAGCTAAAAAGTTTGGAACACATACCACCACGTGTATGTGTGGCCTACTCATATCTATTTCCAGTGCATGTGACTTTTTAAAAATCAATTTCATTATATTTTAACTAAATTCAAAGCCTCATAGTACACGTGCATTTCAGAGCACTACATAATCAACATTCATAACTGCTTCCGCAGACAGCTTCTCTCACGATAAAATCGCATAACCAGAAATCAATCAAAATGCAGACCCAATTTCAACATTACAATGAGGTGCGGTCCTCAAATTGGGTATATATGCTTTTCTCTCGTTCAACATTTTCATATTAAAAGCATTTGGATTAGAGCGTGTTTCTTTCCACTCTACCCCACAGTTTATAAACTACTTTCTTTTTCAACCTCTCTTTTTCCATTAGTTCGTAATACCATATTTAGAAGAGGAGGTATATGGGGTAAACAACATTTTCTTCATATTTGTAATATGTACCTGTAACTTCATGACTGATTATTTCATGCACAGGATATAAAATGTAAGTATATTTCACTTTCGTGAATTGAGCCATCAAGATAATTGGTAATTTATTTTATTAATGTATTTTCACTGAAAACACACACACATGCACACTCGCACATTTACAATTTTGTCCATGAACTGTGGAGCATCTATTCAATGAAACTTTATTGAACTTCTATGAAAGATGTATAAATCTATTGAAACAAGTTAATAGAAAACTTTATTTGTAATGGTTAGACCCCCCCTTTTATCACGTTTTATCGGTACTGCACATTTACAATATATGGTAGATAAGAAGTCGGATATTGGTGTTAAGGTAGAGACACATGCTCAAAGAGCTTTCAAATGATTCCAAATGCAATCTTGATGATATTTTAGTAAAAAGTAATATTTTCGTTAATCAACATTAGTTTTCCAAGTCTAGACTATTTTTGAATATTCTTTCAAATCCATTTCTTCGACTTGTTTCTAGAAAATTCTCATGACCATGTATTTTGTTATCAAATGATAAGAAAATAGTCTGACATGCCCTGAGATTTAAAAAAAAAAGGTGCTGCATCCCCCATCTCCAAACCAAGCATCCGGCGCTTATTTAAATCAAAAGAGGCAATAATACAACTTGTTTCATATCAGCAGAATTTTATATTTATTATCAAATATGTGTGTCAAAAGGTGAATGTGATTTAAGGAATATAGGTAAAAACATTATGCAACAGTCATGCCCCACTATATAATTTAATTTTAAAGTGTTTTAATTAGTAAAGATAATACACGAACATTATTGATATTTAATTATAATAAAAGATAAATCAATTTTGATTGATTTTATTTGAACTGTTTTGAATGCATCCATTGCTTCCTGCATCATCCCCTCAATCCATTATCATGAACATGGTTCTACATGTGAAACAATTTTCCAAATACACATATGTATGCAATAAACGAATACTCATAAAGCACAATGAACGAATTAGCTACACATTTTTGAGCGTTGTATCATTTACCGAAATCTAAACAATGAACGTTTTCTGATTTAAATTATATAATAATGATATGAATATTCACAAACAGAATTTTAGGGCCTTTAAGCTTTCACGTCAGAATAAATACCGACTAGGATTCTACCCATTTTCTACTGTATTATTGGTCACTACAATTCTGAGCTGCTGTCGTATTTAGCTTGTCCTCCTTCAAGAAAGCTTAAAATCCCCATTAAATTAGGTGTCATAATTACATGACTGATCGGTTCCTCGACCATAGGAAGGAAAGGGGGCTTTTTATCAATTTCACTTCATTTTTCGCTCTTTGCATGATAAATTAAATGTGTATATTAGTGTGATGAGAGGGTATAGAACCTATACTGTTTAGTATGAAGATAAAGATTGGGACTAAATACATGTACGAGAGCATGTGGTTAACTGTTAGAGGAGGAGGATATAGAATAGGCAGCCGATCGAATCGTTGTCAAAAGAGGGCGAAAAATATTAAGAATACTATCTACCATTGAGTTGAGTACATCAGGAAACTTGTAGATGTGTCGTGGTCTAGTGGATAAGTAACCGGACGGTTCGTGTTCCCCCGCGGCACTAATGTCCTTCGGAAAGTCATTTTCATATTATTTCTAAACTCGACCCAGGTGAGGTGAGGTAAATGGGTGTCTGTTAAAGATTAACTCCTTGAAAATGTTAGAGCTCCATAATGGCAGCCATGCTGAAGCCAGGATAATAATTGTAAAACGTCAGGAGTATGAAGGTTGACAGACACGAGTGCTAAACGGGAACCCATTAAAATCATTATCATTTTCATTATTATGATCTATATTATTACTACTATTATCATTATCATTGGTATTATCATAATCATCAACATTATCATTATAAGTCTTTGACAAGAATACAAGTAAAACATGACACATGCTGAGCAGTCGAATCAGTGGCGTAGCATGAGTATACTCATTAAGGGGGCACTGGCACGACGAGGGGGGGGGGGGTGCCTTTGGTCCAAC